TTTTTTTTTTTTTTTTTTTTTTTTTACAAAGTAATGATGGCCATTAATGTGCCTGGAGCTGAGTTTCTACTTTAACATATTCTGCACTACTTTCCTCCTTTCTTTCCCGCACTGAAAACTGGAGTCCAGCCGTAGAGGAGATTATAGAAAAAGGCTGGGTTTAGCAAAACAAATGGTCAAACTCGATCAATCAAGAGAATTTGGTTTCTGAAACACATCACCGCTGACCCAAGGAAGAGGGAAATGTCTATAATCCAGTGGGGGCTGAAAATAGGTCCCTAAAAACTCACATTTCTCAACACAGCCTCATTTGCTATTATTTACATGTGGACATCTGTCACTTGGAAATTGCAATCTCTTGACGGAAAACAGTTTCTCGCTGTCTTTGGAGTTGTTTTGTGAATATTGCACGTTACGTAACTTCAGTTCGCAGACCGTATACACACAAGCAGACGCCAAAGTATGTCTATGCATATGCCAAAGAGACACACAAAGATGCAGTTTTGAGGTTTTTTTTGGTGCCCAGGGTGCGTCAGCTCAGCCATGGCTTGGGGGACACAGTTCACGCACTTTCCTGCTTTGCTAAAAGCCTTTTTTGAGGTGCTCCTCCAGGAACGACCCAGACCACCGCCTCCTTTCAGAGGCTGCATCCCGTGGGTGGTGGGAAGCTCCGGGCACGGATGCCTCTCAGCGATTAGAGAGGAGCACCGAGGTGGACTTCTCGCAGATGATCATGAGTTCACCAAAGCGGAGCCCAAGCCTGAATTACCTTTTTCACACCTGGATATCGTTTTCTTTATGAGAAGTTATATGCAGACACAAAACCGAATCCCACAGGCCAGACAGGTTTTTTAAAAGGCATTGACAGGGAACAAAAAAGCTTAAAAATAAAAGTATATGTGGATCCCGAGGCAAACTCACTGGAAAACGATTTTACTAGACACACTCAGCCAGAATGACCTCTATAGACTCCAGACCAGAAGAAAGATTAATAATTTTGAGCCAGAAGTTCCCTGACACTTATTATATCTAATATAGCTTGTTACGGTCGCCCTTGATTGTGTAATTAATCTCTCTTTTTTTTTCTTTCTCCTTCTGACTTTCCAAGATTTCTTATGGGAATACTTCACAAAACCATATGGATAAAAGCAGTTTTTCCTCGTAGAGCCACGGAAGCGCCATTTGGTTGATTTATTCCTCGTGGTCCACCCAAGCCAGCGTCAGTGATCGGTTTTGCTCTCAGTGACACAGCTCCCCTTCCAGGCAGCTCTGAACACCATGGGTGAAACGCGAGAAAAAAACCCTTCACCAAAGGATGGTGTCACTCCAGAGGAAAAACACATTTTTTTTTGGCTTTTTTTTAAATTTAGTTCTGTTCTTTTAACCCCTTTTTCCGTCCCACCCACACAACGGTGATTGCAGGAAAACCACAAGGCGCTCTGGAAGACAGTGCTACCCAAGAATAATTCTGGTTTTATAACAATGCATCTGTGAAAAACAGCTGTCTAAAAGCAGCCTGCTCCGTTACCGCTGGGTAATCCCTCCTGCGAGCCTTATCCTGCCAGGAAAATCTTATCGGTATACTCCTTCACCTTTTCCAACCCCTCTACACGCTTCTGTAAACGTGTGTGATGACAGTGTGGTTTTTAACTAATTCATTTTCATTTCAACTGCTTTAAAAATGAAGGGTAAAAAAAAAAAAAAATTCCTCCGGGCTTAATGCAGCGAAGTTATTCACCACGATTCTGCCCCGATCTTTAAATATTTAAAATTGTTTGGGAGTCATGCTTCTCCCAAGCCAACCCCTGCCAAAGAGCAAGCACTTGTGAGCATCCCATTCCATTTATACAGCCAATTTCAGGAAAGGGTAAACAATTCATTCTATCTGTGTAGTTACAATAAAGTGGAAAACGATGCTGATTTATTCTAGCAGGACCCCGGAGGTTGCAGAGCTCTTTTCTTCCATTGCCTTGACCAAAATGCTTTGCCTAATGCGCACCTTTGGAAAGGCGAACGTTGACCGACGGGGAGCAGATCGCGGAGAGCGTTTGCAACTCACCTGTCATCGACCTGGTGGTCGCGCTTTCGTACAGAGGCACCCCTTCGCCCGCGTTGTTAAAGGCCTTCAAGGAAATCACGTAATGGGAACTCGGCTCTGCAGGAGAAAAAGAAGGCAAAACAAAGCACATGTGGTTAAAAGTCAGCTCTGGGGCGCAGAATGGACCAGCGCTTCCCTGAAAAACAAGAAAAAAAGAGAATGAAGTTCAGCAAACGCCTGTGCAACGTCAGTGATGAGCACAACTGCTTCCCATCGTATTCGTTTCCTTCCCAAAGGCTTTATTTATCGCACTGTCCCGGTGCTACCTTCATCAACAGCGAGTTCTTTAAAATCACCTGCAGTTTATTCTGAATAAAAGTGCTGGAACCAACTTTGAGCATCAGCCAGACCTCCTGGCCCATGGCTCCCAGCAGAGGAAGCCTCGGACGTGGGTCTACGTGCCCTGCTTACCGCGCGAGGAGGGATGCTGCGGGGCACCAACGCCTTCCTGCCGGATGGAGCTGGGGCGGATGCGCTGTTGGCCCAGGGCCCACATGGGAAGAGACGGTTGAAGGTCACCAGCCATGGGATCCTGAAATCCAGAGCAGTGAGCCGCAGGTGTCCGGCTCTTCAGCGCCGCTTGGGTGGAATTCCCGCTCCGGAACCTGACCCCGAAGGGTTCACGCACCCCGTTAATCGCTTTGTGGATGCTGAGCAAAAAGCCTCCCTCCCTCATTTCTTGATGTCAGAATTACATCGGTAACAGCCATTTTACCACCTTTTATCTCACTAAGAATTCCTGATGCCACGTTATAAATACCAAGGATGCGGCAGACAACACATAACACACGGGAATTAAATTCTACCGCGCTGTGCTGGTTTGCGTGTCCTAGTTTACCACTGGACCACTCTAAATATATTCCTAAATATAAACAAAGTGAAGTGAGCGGGTCAGTTCCACTTTGCTTTTTGCTCCCGTTTCCTGCGAAAAACAAGGCAGTCCATTTTCCTGATTTTTTTCCATGTGAATTGCTTCATCCCCAGTTTGTTTCTTTTTTTTTTTTTTCTATAGCTGTTATTTCTATTTGTACAGCAGAAAATTGCAGCTGAATACATCAGGCGCTCATACACCTGCCAAAGATGGGAATGGCCTCCTCAAAGTTCTTTACTGAAAAATAAATGTTTTTATGTGCAGAGGCATTTATTAACGTGACACTGCAAAGGACCTGCTGCCGAATTACATATTTCATCTACATTAACACCAAATCAGCTCAGTGTGATGAATACTATTACAGTGAATCCGAAATGAGTAAATAATCTTTAAGCACTTATTGCATATTGTTACTAATATCCTTTCCACCCACCTATTTCGTACTTAATTTTACGTCCAGAAGAAACAGTGACATATTTGTTTAATATTCAGGTGACTTCTGTGCTTCTATTGCAACAGAGCCAAACTTTAAAAATTGCCAAATGAATGACTGGCGCATTAATAACTCCCTGCGCTAAGTATTGTACGGTTATTAATTCAGTTGGTACTCGCTGAAATTATTTAAATCACAAGGAAATTATTTTGTATTCACAGAGATGTAGTATATATTTTCATATTATTTCCACCATGCATTAGCATACTACTTTTAATTTCTAATTTAACTAAGTGTTGTAACTCTCCAGATTCCACATGAAGATTTATTTATCGAGACACAAAGTCATTATTTCGCCGAGAGTTTAATAACACCACATTCTGCAGAAGAAAAAAATTCATAAGCACATTCTAGACTGACTCCATCTCTTCCTTCGACCCGTGTCCCACTCGTTGTGCTTATTTAGGAGTTTTGAAAGACGCGTGGCAGAGTGATGCAAGGGGTTAATACAGACCATTCACTAGGGTAGATCAGGGAAGAATCCCAAAATATGAAGTTTTAGGAGATGTACCAGTTATTTGCCGTTACCAGCAGTGAACTCAGTGACTATACTGAAGAGGACATCTAGAGACCGACAGCGTATCCATCCTATTGCTTTCCAGCTTTCCCTAAATTAGGCATGTGGTTTAGTTTAAAAAGGCTGTTCCTATCATGACCGAGGAGACAAGCCCCCCTGAAGGACAATTCATGCCATGCTAAGGTTGGTATTTAAGAAAGAGAAGATGAATCAGCCTCTAAGGATCAGCACATACCTCCTCCGATTATGGAAGTCTGGACTTCACTTGGCTTAAATTTTAAATAACAAGACGTTAATCAGAAAAGAACGTCACCCTGAACACTGATTTTTTAAGTGTTTAAATTACTCAAGAAACCGGATTCTAGAAATTACTGTCAACCACCCCCAAGCCCCATAGAACTGTCACGTCTCATCAAAATACATTGTGAATTCCCAATAACGCATAAGCAAAATGAGTGATTTACTATTAATTTGATCATGGAAATTGATAAATTAGGTGGAAAAATGTGATAAGTTCATGGAAAATTTAAAAATGGAGACAATATAGCACATACGTCATTACAACAGCCCATATAGCACAATATACAGTCCATCAAATTTTATAAATTGGACAGACCGACATACGATTTATGTTTATAACTAGGTTGGGTAAGGTTATTCTTGCAAAAATGAGCTAAGATTGGGATGAGGATGTGACCTGCAGCTTTCTGTTAAAAACATGAAAAATTCAGGTGGTTAATTTGAGCTGCTGCTAACTGGAGCAATAAATAATTGCTTGGGCCTCCTCTTAGATAAGAGGGAAAAAAGGCAATTTGCCATGGTACAACAGTAGCAGAGGTCGGTTTAGTCCAACACAATGAAAAAGTGAAAAAGCATTAATATCATCGTGTGGCAGGCAGTTGCTTTTTGAACTGCACTGTATATTAATAATACTTATGGGGTACCTAATATTGCTGCTTTTTTTTTTTTTTTTTTTTTTGCTTAAATGCCACTGGCTGGAGTGGGAGTTAAAACGAAGAAAGTTTTTTAGTGTAAACCTATTAATGGGTCATTAGCGCTCCAGCCAGAAACAATAAAAAGAAACAAAGAAACGGGGGGCTTTAGAGATGACGGTGCAGTCGCAAGAATTCAGAGGTAAACTCTGATTTTTTTCTCCACCGACTCCTATACATCGCAGTGAGGAACACAGCTCTGTAACAATGATGTTACCACTTGTATTTGCTATTCTGGAGCAGGAGAAGGAGAGAATTACACGCTTTTTTTCTGGCAGAAGAAATCTCTTCTCGCCTTTGAAGAAGCTGAGCAAAGAATTCAGCTGTAATTAGAGCATGAGCCAAGAATCCCCACATCAGTGTTGGTGTGGAACATGCTCTGGAAATAAAGTTGTGTTCTGCAGTTCAACTTAAAAAAAAAACAAAAAAGTAAAAGTACAAGAAGTTCAAACTAAGTATGAACAAAATCAATTTCTTCTACTGACAGAAGTTGTTACCGGAAAGAAAATAATCAACAAATAGCAACTTCTTCAAGATACCCCAATTGTTTTCTTCTTTAAGAGGGAAAAATTGTGACATCTCTACAGGCATTACATGGATGGAGTCTTTTGACAAACGCTGAGTTTTCATGTATAATTTAATTTTATCTTTAAGTTCTACATATAAAATAAAGGCTTGACAACTAGACGTGAACTACAATCCAAGGAAAGCTCCTCACGTTAAGCTACGATGTTGGAAAGAGGGTAAGACCACTCAACTGATTTTCCAGATCAGCTCCTTTCTCTCTCAAACAAAAATTCATTCTCAAGTCCTCTTCTCATTTCCCACTTTAGCAATTACCCGACATGAGGGACCTGCAGAGCTACACAGTGGTACCCTGGGAGAGCCGGTGCTAAGATGGGGTCTCCAGAAAACGTTGCTCACCCCATCCTACTACTCAGAGCTAGTCTTCCACTTAAAAACATCTGAATTTCTTCTAATGCCATGAAGCAAATAAAACAGCAATAAGGATAAGTTATGCATTCAATAATCTTCCCCCAATGCCTTTGTCAGTGCCTTTCCTGATCCCAACCAAGCGTGAAGTAGCAACTCGTTGAGATCTGATGCCTTTTACTCAACTGGAGCATCAGTGTCTTATCTATGAGTACAGTATAATAACGTGCTCAAGCTGCCAGAGCTTGCCAAGGAGGAAATCCCACCTTTTGCCCTTTTTTTTCCCCCATTACTAAGGTGTTTTTAACTGTAGGCTACAGGAGCCTACCCTTGGGATGGCAGAGACAGTAGGAAGGTATCCATCATGAGGACCTACGGCCTCCCAGTAGACAAAGTGGAAACAAAGAGGTCTTGTCAAAACAGACGGGGTTGGACCATATCCTGCAGTAAAAGGACAGGGTGGAAATTACAGCAAGAGAAATTCCGACTAGTTATTAGGAAAAAAAAAAGAAATATGAGGGTTGTCAAGTGCTGAGGCGGTGGCCCAGAGAGGCCGTGGAACACCCATCCTTGAAGGTGCTCCAAATCAGCTGCCAGTGACGCTGGTGCGACCCAGAGCTACCGTCAAAGCTGGCCCTGCTTGAACAAAGACCTGGAGATACCCCTTCCGACCTAAGTGATAATTAATACCTGCTCACATCAAACACGATGAGAGCAGGAACCTGGTTTGACGCCGAGCTGAGGAGGCACTTCTAAGCCATCTGCTGACATAGGACCCTTCTGTCCCCTCTGTTGCTTTCCCTCTTTGTTGCATCAAACCCAAACTGACTACCCATAATTAGCAATCAAATCGGAAACACAAATGCCAGATTTTGCTGTAAGCATAGAAGCTGCTGCAGGAAAAGCCCTTTTAAAAGAGAAAAGTTCTTGAAGAGAAGCATGCCTGTGCCCTCCGTGTCCTGCCAGTGCCACTGATGCCAAATGACCCTTGAAAGGGCAGAAAAGCCGTCACTCCCAATTATCTCAAAAAGCAAGCAGAGAACCACCTCATTTACTCCTGTCTGGGTTTGTGAAAACATTACACCTGGCAATCAATAGTACCGGGACCAGTTCGTAGACCCGGTAACATTAGTCTATTGCCAGGAAAATGTAATTTATCAACAGGACAAACGTCAAATTAAAGTATAAACTCTGCAGACAAGGGTTATTGAATTCTGAGAAATCAGGAGAGAAAAGCGCTTCCAACATCGCCGTCAGATGCAGCCTCCTTCTCCCGTAACCTCCGCCTGAACTGGAGGGTTACAGGTAGGGCTGTGGTGCTCCCGACTGCCGGGGCTGAGGAACGCTCCCAGGATCATGGAAACCACCCTCTATGCATCAAGGAGCCCAAATCACACTTTGCAATACAGTTTTCAATTAGCAGTGCTGCAACGAACAAGCCCAAAGGAGGTGGAGTTCCTGCGGGAGATCCTACTGTGTGCGACAACTTGGAGGGAAGCGCATTTTACAAATATCCACCGGGTACCTAATGACCAGCAGATTGAACTCCATTAAAAGAAACAATAATTAATGTATTCCACCTCTCAGACAACATACGCGTGCCCTGGAGAGCAAAGCTTAGAAGCAGATTTTAGCACAATGTAGGGTTTTTTTTTAGCACAAGGTAGGGAAATGAAACCCCCATTTAAAAAAAAAAGTAAATAACCTTTTAACCATACGAGCAAATTTAACAATAAATATCCCACTAGAATAGACTAACATGGTGAAATTCTCCAAATGAGTTTCTCCTATGTTGTCAGCTAGAGAAAAGCAGTTTTATTTTATTCCTTCTATTTTATTCCTTCTATTCTTTGCACATCGGTGATAGCTG